GGCGGGTGCCTGTAGTCCCAGCTACTTGGGAGGCTGAGGCAGGAGAATGGCATGAACCCGGGAGGCGGAGCTTACAGTGAGCCGAGATCACGCCACTGCACTCCAGCATGGGTGACAGAGCAAGACTCTGTCTCAAAAAAAAAAAAAAAAAAGTTCCATAGGAATGGTGATTTTATTTTTGTGTATCTGTGTGTGGCCCAGACTCCACCATCGAGTGCTATAAACAGGTATATATTTGCAAAACCCAAAACCTGATACTTTGAGACCCCCATAGCATTAATTATTGGAAATTAGTGCCCCTTAGGCATCTTCCAGCTATTCTGTAGGGTGACCAACCATCCTGGTTTGCCCAGGACTGAGAGGTTTTCCAGGATGCAGGACTTCCTGTTTTACACTGGGACCATCCCAGGCAAATAAAGCCGAGTTGGTCCCGTCTTGTAAATGTAAACTCAGAGAGTTGTCTGCTCTGAGCTTCCACACTAGCTCAAATTCTTTTTAACAATAAACACACATTTTTTTATAACAATAAGCATTAAAAATTATTCATTAAAAATAATAGGCCAGGTGCCGTGGCTCATACAAATGTAATCGCACACTTTGGGAGGCCAAGAAGGGAGGATTGCTTGAGCCCGGGAGTTCAAGAGCAGCCTGGGCAACATAGCAAGACTCTGTCTTTACAAAGATTTTTTTTTTTTTAATTAGGCATGGTGGTGCATGCCTGTAGTCTCAGCTACTTGGGAGGCTGAGGTGGAAGGATTTTTGGGCCCGAGAGGTGGAGGCTACAGTAAGCCAAGGTCACACTACTGCACTGCAGCCTGAGTGACATAGCAAGACCTTGTCTCTGAAAATAATAATAATAATAGTTGGCATCAATATTAAGGAGCAGCCATGGATATACGCAGAAGTAGGCGAAAGCAGCCAGAACAGGAAACCTAGTCACAAGAAAAGGGTGCCCAGGAGAGGGCAGAGGAAGCACCATGCCTGGTAATAGAAGCTGGGGGAGAAGAGGCGGACACTCTGTGCCAATTAGGGACCACCTCAGTTTGCTCTTCTGTAAAATGGGACTTGAACTAGATCAGGACTCCTTCACATTTTTAGGCACTAGAGCAAGAGGGAGTTATGGTATTTGTGACAGAGCCCCCAAAGAAGGGGAAAGCTGGCATCTGACTTCACTAACTTTAATTTGCAGAGAAGTGTTACTTCTGCACTTATAAAACTAACTGACTTAACTGCACTTATAAAACTTCTGCACTTACAAAAGTAACTGACACTTATAAAACCAAATATGAAACTACAGCCATGAGCACGTGGTCACAGGAGGAAACTAAACTGTCAAAATAAGCCGGTGGCTGCTTCCAAGTGTTCCCACTGATTCTTGCCAGCTCCTTGTTCATTTGTCTGTCTGCTGGCATCTTTTTGCCAACAAGTGGTCACAGGCAGAGATTCCGAAAACGTTTGTTGGAGAAAAATGGAAAATCAAAAAGCCAGTAGCCATTAATCATTAATTGGTTCTTTTTTATATATAAATTGGGAAAAACCCATCTGAGTCCACCTTTGGAGGCGCCACCCACACGTCAAAGGAGCCTGACCTGAGACTGACTGGATGAAAAGCTGCTTAGGGGCCTTTCCCAGCCAAATCCTGCTGTGGGAGTCACTGTGCAGCTGGTCCTGGCAGCAAGCTGGGGACCTGAAGCAGGGGCAATTGTCCCAATTTTTTTGTCCCAGCGTCAGCTGTTCCCAGCCACAGATATAAGCACAACAGAGCAGGCCAGATCCCGAAGCATGGCCAGATGGCAGCAGGGATCCACGGGGCAGCACGCCTCGCGAGGCAACTGGGCAGAGTCCCTGTATTCATGGAAGAGCCGTCAGGGCAGGCACAGATGCCCAGTAACAGGTTTCAGAACGGGGAGAGCCAAGCAACCAGCTGTCCTTGGGTGGGGGCTGCCCCTGGCAGCGGCGGAGGGGCTCGTGAAATCTTGCAGTGGCCCCAACCCAGGGACACACTGTGTGCAGCCTGGATTCACCAACCACTAGAGCCCTGGGGGTGCCTGAGAGCACCTGCCTGGATAAACCCAGACAAGTGACAAGCCAAGGTCAGGAAGTACAAGCAAAAGAGCAGAGAAGCAGAGGAGACAAGTGGCATTCATCCTTTCAACAAATGTCCATTGAATGACAGTCACACATGAACTTCAGCAATCCTTAGCTTTTATTCTTTTTCCAGAAAGTAATACATACTGTGTAAAAATATTAAAACAATATGAGTGTATCAAGTAAAATGTATCAAGATGTCCCCCCTCATTTTACATCTCCAATTCTACTCTCCAGAGGTAATCATTGTTTTTGTTTGTTTTCATACGGAGTCTCACTCTGTTGCCCAGGCTGGAGTACAGTGGCTTGATAGCTCACTGCAACCTCTGCCTCCCTGGTTCAAGCAATTCTCCTGCCTCAGCCTCCTAACTAGCTGGGATTACAGGCATGCACCAACATGCCCAGGTAATTTTTGTATTTTTAGTAGAAATGGGGTTTCACCATGTTTTAGCCAGGCTGGTCTTGAACTCCTGAGCTCAGGTGATCTGCCCATCTCGGCCTCCCAATGTGCTGGGATTACAAGCGTGAGCCACCGCGCCCTGCCAATCATTGTTAAAAGCTTGGTGTGTGATCTTCTCAACTTTATGTGCATATGTATCTATACATAGAGAGAAAGAGAGACACTGTCTTCTAAGCAAAAATAGGATCTGAGTCTTCATACTATTCTGCAGCTGTTTTTCACTTAACACCTTATTACATTTTATATGTCAGTACATACATGTCATTCTTCTGAACAGCTAAATAGTATTCCATAGTTTTAGTATAATGAATGAAGTTTTAATGTTCCCTATTTTTCACTCTTACATTGTGCAGTGAACATCCTTGGACATAATTCCTGCACACTGGTCTGAGTATTTGTGCTGTAGCAGCTGGATCTCCTGCCGTTTACAGCGCTGAATCATGAAGTTGGCATATCAAAATGTTTAACGGGCCGGGCGCAGTGGTTCACACCTATAATCCCAGTACTTTGGGAAGCTGAGGCAGGTAGATCACTTGAGGTCAGCAGTTTGAGACCAGCCTGGCCAACATGGTGAAACCCTGAATCTAGTAAAAATGCAAAAAAAAACCAGCCAGGCGTGGTGGTGCACACCTGTAATATCAGCTACTCAGGAGGCTGAGGCAGAAGAATCGCTTGAACCTGGGAGGCAGAGGTTGCAGGGAGCCTAGATCGTGCCACTGCACTCCAGCCTGGGAAACAGAGTTAGACTGTCTCAAAGAAAAAAAAAAAAAAGTTTAACAGATACTGATCAACAGTCTCCGGAAATAGTAATTGCCCCAACCATACTGCATAACTGCCTTGCAAACAGAAGTTTTGATTTGAGAAACAAATGAAATCTGAAATACGCCATCCACACGTTTGGAATATAAGTTTTAGGGGGTTCAAAGGCCCCCTACCCTGAAGCCCACACAGGACTCCTGGCTAAGACCCCCTTTACAGGAAGACCCTAACAGGTCAATGAAAAGCTGTGATTGCATCTTTTTTCCGAAACGTCATCAGAACTCCTCAGGCAGGAGCTAGTGCAGTGTGGGCTGCCTGTGACTCACATGAGGAGCTTAGCCCAGGAGGACAGAGACAGGAAACTGCCACGCACAGCTCTGCGGTTAGGTGAACCTGACGATTTTCTTGTGTGTCCTGCAGGTGATTGCAAATAACTAACCAAAAGAAGTCCCCGGGACGGTTTCAGACTTGGAAAGGTCACAGAAGGAAAATAATATTATATAAAGTGACAACTATATAAATCACATCTTGATGAGGGTTTTATTATTATTTATTTAGCAATCCATCCTAACATCCAGGGCCCTAAAAACCAGAAATAGGTCAGGCTCAATGGCTCAAGCCTGTAACCCCTGCACTTTGCTGATCGCTTGAGTCCAGGAGTTCAAGACCAGCCTGAGTAACATGGCGTAACCCTGTCTCTACTAAAAATACAAAAATTAACTGGGAGAGGTAGTGCACACCTGTAGTCCCAGCTACTTAGGAGGCTGAGGTGGGAGGATCTCTTGAGCCCAGGAGGTCAAGACTGCAGGAAGCCAAGATCGCATCATTACACTCCAGCCTGGGTGACAGAGTAAGACCCTTTCTCCAAAAAAAAAAAAAAAAAAGCCCAAAAAACAACAAATAGGCTGGCATAAGGACAGCTTAAAAGACCTCAGGGTGGAGCAGCCCAACGTGTCACTATTGCACAGCACATTCACACTGCAGTCTGGGGGTGCTTCATGGGCCCCTCCCTATAATTATCTCTGGATAATTGTGTTCCCTTGGACAAGAGACCTAACCTCCCTGAGCACAGGGTTCTCACCCTTGTTCCCTTGTTGCCTTCCTGGGATGGAATAGGGATCAAGTGAAATGAGACATGAAGAAATGGGGCTGGGTGAGGTGGTGCAGCCTGTAGTTACAGCTACTTGGGAGGGTCACCGCAGCCCAGGAGTTTGAGACCAGCCTGGGCAACATAGTGAGAGCCCAGAAAAACATGGGGAAATGTTTTGAAAAAAGCAAAAGTCTCTTTTGTAAGGAAGAACAAAGAGTTGGAGCAAAATGAGGGAAGAAATAGGCAAAAGAGAGTCCATATTTGCCTTTTATTTTTTAGGATTAATGCAATGTAGGAAAAGTTAACAATTTTTAAAACTTCACTTAGAATTCACAGATTACAGCTGTTCAGGCTCTAGTAGGCCCCAGCTTGCTGATCTATGAGAGATACTGGTTTGTGTGTAGCCAAAAATCCCTACAGACCAGTGGTTGTCAGGTGAGTAAAGTCTTATACCCCAGGACATATTTGGCAACACCTGAGAACATTTTTGTTTGGCACCACTCAGGGAGACGTGTCACTGGCATTGAGGCGAGGGACAGTGCTGAACATCCAGGACAGCCTCACAGCAAAGGGTGACCTGACCCCACAGGTCAGTAGTACAGAGGTTAATCCCTGCCCTAGAGAGAACACAGGGATCACGGGACAGTCACTAGCCCTGGACCAGCCACTGCTCAAGAGGCCACACACAATCCATGGCATTCATCTGTCCCTCTTCCTCCACTGTTCAGCACTTGTCGCCAATCTGGAAGCTGCTAAGAGCCTGTCTGTCACTGGCAGAGAAAGAGCAGACCCTGTGCCGGCTACAAAGTCCTTGAGTTGCAGGAAAGTCCAGGTCTCAGCCACTTTCAGGCCTGGGGCAGGAAGGCTTTGGGGTGCAAGATAAGGCAGGGTGAGGGGCCCTGGCCTTATGATGTTTTAAAGAAAAGCTTTTTCCGGAGGAAATTAAAGCAACCAGGCATCTGTTTATAAATCCCTTTCACCGAAACAGCATCAGCGACCTGTAAGACATGACCATGGAGAGCTCTGTGAGTTCAGTTCTCTGGACTGAAGGAACAATTCAAGAGGGGCTGGGGGGAATGTCCACTCAACCGACACCTTAAAAACAGCTCAAACTGCAGCCTCTTTGAGCAGGAGGGCTTAAAGAACACGCACCTCAACTTTACCTTTAAAAAACTCAAAATTCAAAATTTCCAAACTCATAAAGTTCAAATCAGACTGAACTATTTGCAAGGAGCAGGGAGTGGCCTCAGCCCCGCGGCCCCTTCTCATGGCAGGAACACCTGAGCAGAGCAGCAGGGGCCCACACGCGCTGCTTCCCCAAGGCAGCCACAAGTCTACGGGACCCTCAGAGGAAGCAACTGTTCTGAGTGGGGTTTCCTTGGAGTAGGACTGGGCCTCTCAGGCCACCCTCAGGCCACCCTTTCCTATCTGTTTCCTCACTGGGGCCTCCTGAGAAGGAGATGTACAAGGAGGGGTTCATAATTCTTGAGGGTCAAGAGTAGAAGACTGCGTGATGGCCGCAGGGTATAGGCAGGGGCCCATGACCCGCCTTCGGGATCTGGACAGAGCCATCCCGCGCTGGCACCGAGGACCAGCTCCATCAGTGGAGGAGCAGGAGGTGTCAACCTGGGGACCTTGGAGGAGACAGGGAAGGCAACTCTTTGAATAAAGGGCAAATGTCACCACAGGCAGGAATGCCTCTCATAGAGACACAAAAGTACTGACTCCAAGGCTCAGAGGAGTCTACTACCTTTTACCCTTGGTTTGGGCCTGCCCTGCTCACCCCCAATCCCCAGCCCCAGGAGAACACGCTGCCCCCCAGCAGCCTCCCCTCTCCTTTGCAGAGGAAGGCAGCACTCACCCTGAGCAGGAGGGACTGCAGGTCTTCAGAGTGAGCCCACTGCTCAAAGATGTTGTCCAGGGTCTCAATGTACCAGGAGCCACTCTCGGGGTCCCTCAGGGAGACAAAACCTTTGGAGGGAGGAGGACTGAACACTGCTGGAGAGCCACCCCCGTGCCCCGCCCCCCCGCCCAGCCACGTACGCAGGCTCGGGTGCCCTGCAGACCTTGACTCACGCATGCATCCAGCAGGAGCAGCCTGGCCCCTGAGGCTCTGCCCTAATCATGATCTTATTTCACCTCGTGACCATCTCCTGATTCTGGCTATGATTCCCGTTTTCCCAGCAAGGAAACGAAGGCTTGGAAAAGTGAAGTGACTCATCCAAGGCATAAGAAAGGAAGGAAACTGCCGGGCCCAGTGGCTCACACCTGTAATCCCAGCATTTTGGAAGGCCGAGGTGGGCAAATCACTTGAGGTCAGGAGTTCAAGACCAGCCTGGCCAACATGCTGAATCCCTGTCTCTACTAAAAATACAAAAATTAGCTGGGTGTGATGGTGCACGCCTGTAATCCCAGCTACTTAGGAGGCTGAGGCAGGAGAATTACTTCAACCTGGGAGGTGGAGGTTGCAGTGAGCTGAGATTGTGCCACTGCACTCCAGCCTGGGTGACAGAGCAAGACTCCGTCTCAAAAAAAAAAAAAAAAAGGAAGGAAGGAAACTACCACCTGCTGCACCTACTATGTGCCACGTACTGTGCTCAGTGACGTGCCAGCCACCTTGTTTAATCGCCATGGCAACCCCTGAGGCACAATTCCTATTCCCTGCTAAAGATGCGAAGGCAGAGGCAGAGTCAGGCAGAGGAGAGGCAAGTGAGGCATAGGAACCCAAGGGCGCAGGCCTCCTTGCAGTGCACATCCTTGTCTGCTCAGCCTGAGCCAAGATTCAGAGAGGAGAAGTCAGTCATTCAGGGTCACAGAGGAGCAAGGGACAGAACCAGGACTCATACCCTGGTCTCTTCTCTCATCACACAGCTGCCTCTAGGGCAGATAGGAAGGCCCTCTGGCTGCAAGGGCGAGCCCTTCTGATGTGCTCACCCGGGAAAGTAGAGTAGGACACAAAGATGTCGCTGGGTGTGGGCAAACTAGATACAGCGTCCAGCTGGTCAAAGGTCCTCAAATCTTCCTGGAACGGGGTGGCGTCTGGCTCGGGGTTACTGCCAGAGGACTCGTCTTCAGGGGAGGTGGAGGCCACCTCAAACCCATGGTCTTTCTGCTCTGCAGGAAGCAGAAACAAACACACCTTGTCATTGAACTACACAGACAAGGATGGTTCAACATATGAAAGTCAGTGTAATATACTACATTAACAGTGTGAGGGGAAAATCAATCTTGGGTCCCCAGACTCATTAAGCCAAACAGAAAAGTCAAGCTGGGAACTGGGTCATGCAAACCCGCCTCCCCGTTTTGGTTCCTAAATAAGATGGCTACAAGATGAACAGCTACATACCTCCCTCAGATTTTGCCCACAAGGAAATTCCTGGTGAGCTTCAAGACAGCTCTCTGATAAAATTCACCATGGCAATGTAAATGGATAGCTTATCTTTACAGAGGCATCACCCCTCTGCCCACCTGGCACAAATGCATATCTGATTATTCCCCTGTCCCATCTGTCTTTGTTACCTTATGTAAACATGCAGGTTCCCTGCATTTTCCCCTGCCCTATGTTACCTTACGTAAAAATGCAAATTCACTGAGCCAGACAAAAGCATGAATGACTATTTTCCCTACCCTGCTCTTACATGAAAACTGTGTACTTCTCAATATCGCGCCCTTTCCCCTTTAAATTTGGAACTCTAAAATTCATGTTCAGAGAAAGGCATAGACCTGTCTCCTGGATGCGGGTCCTTAACTTTGGCAAAAGAAACTTCTTAAATTGACTGAGACCTGTCTCAGATTTTTGAGGTTCATAAGAGAGTGAAAAAAACCTTACATCATCATCTCAATTGATGCAGAAAAAGCACATGACAAAATTCAACAACCTTTCATGATAAAAACAGTCGACAAACTCAGAATAGAAGGAAACTACCTCAACATAATATAAAAGCCATATATGAAAAACCCACAGCAAACATTATACTCAATGGTGAAAGACTGAAACCTTTTTCTATAAGATCAGGAAGGTGGCAAGACTTCCTGCTTTTGCCACTTCTATTCAACATATTACTAGAGGTTTTCAATAGAGCAAGAAGGCAAGAAAAAGAAATAAAAGACATTCAAATTGGAAAGAAGGAGTAAAATTGTCTCTGTTCACAGATGGTATGATTTTATATGTAGAAAACCCTAAAGATTAAACACTATTAGAACAAATAAAATTAGCATATTAGCAGGATACAAAGCCAACCATAAAAAATATTTGCATTTCTGTACACTAACGATGAACAATCAGAAAACGAAATTACAAAAATGGTTCCATTGACAATAGCATCAAAAATAATAAAATAGTTAGCAATTAACTTAACCAAGATGAAAGACTTGTAAAATGAAAACTACAAAACATTGCTGAAAGAAATTAAAGGCGGCTGGACGCCATGGCTCAC